TTGATATTTATTTTCTTTTTCGTTTTTCTATGATTTCAGACTTTTATTGGTATCAACAGAGTTAGAGATTTCCAGCTAAATGTTAGCCAAGGAGGAGGTTGGGGAGAGTCTTGCCCTTTTTGTAGACAATGAGAGCTCATCTACAATCAATGAAATAAGGCTTCAACTGTATCCAGTTTCTGAGTATGAATATGGTGAAGGTTTACCATATGCTCCTGTGGATAGGCCAAATGTTGGTGATAAGTGGGGTTGGAGGACAGGTAGAAGAGCTACAAACTCAGGCACTTTCAAAGATAGATATTTGTATCTTCCGGAGCATTTTCAGGCACCGAGAGATGGAAAGAAAAATGCCTTCCGAAGTAAGACTTCAGTTAAAAAAATATCTCCAATCTGAGTATCCTAGTGTGGATATCGATATATTCTTTGCCTCATTCAGTTAGATGATTCCTTTAAAGCAGTCGTCAAGCTCAGAAGGTTAGCTTCAACAAGGTTCCTCGGTATACATCATGTAGAGATTTATTTAGTTGTTTGCATCAACTAAAAGAAACAGTAATAACCACATGGCTCACTGTGTATACTGAACTTCCAAATTAATTTAATATATACCGAGTTATGGGTAAGGACCAATTCTAAATCACCTCTTTCTCCTCCTTGGCATTTACATTTGTATCTTTGACCATGGATTTTGTCCATCTCTAATCTTTACATATTATTTTATTTGTTTCCTTTCCTGTCAAACATAAATGCTATCATACCAGTTACAAGTACTTGCAATTTACCAAACAAAATGTTAAAATTTTTATGAATAATGCCCAAGTACCCCCTCAACCTATGCCCGAAATCTCAGAGACACACTTATACTATACTAAGGTCCTATTACCCCCCTGAACTTATTTTATTAATAATTTTTACCCCTTTTTAACTTACGTGGCACTATCTTGTGGGTCCAACGATGGTTGACTTTTTTTTCGAACTAGTGCCATGTAGGCTAAAAAGGGGTAGAAAATTACATATAAAATAAGTTTAGGGGGGTAATAGGACCTTAGTATAGTATAAGTGTGTCTCTGGGATTTCGGGCATAGGTTGAGGGGGTACTTGGGTATTTTCCCAAATTTTTATAATGCTGCTAGGAGTAAACTTTGTTATGTTCTCATATTTAATGAGAGTATTTAATATTTCTAATACTCTTTGAGAAGTATATTGAATATTCATTAATTACTAAAGAGAACAATGGATGTAGATCATTATCCAATGACTCTACCTATATATATATATATATATATATATATTGTTAAGCTTTGAGGTTGCTCATTTTACTTTAGAAATTATTAGGGAAGTCATTGATATCCATTTTTGGTCGTTGAATTGTGTTTTATAGAAATCAAAATATATTAAAGTGTAAACACAATTGTGTTGTTCGTACTGAAAGTATTTGGAACGGTTGTGGATAATTAAACATTAGGTACCTGTTTTATAATGTTTAATTATCCACAACAGAAAAATAGCCAATGTATTCCAACAAATTGAGATTTGAAGAGGGTAAAGTGTACCTTGACCTTATTACTACCTAGGTAGAGACACTATTTGTGATAGACCCTCAGCTCAAGATAAAAAACAGTCATAAGTAGTACAGAGAAAGAAATAACATAATGAAAAACTTATAGCAAGATATTATAAAGAAATAACATAATGAAAAACTTATAGCAAGATACTATAGACAATCTTACAAATCAACTTGAACAAAAGTAAAAAAAACAAGGTAAAACAATAATTGAACCACAAAAGAAATGAATAATAACCAAACTCAAAGGTTGAAGGAGATAAATAGTAGGAATTTTTAATATATATCCAACTTCATTCACAATTTTAAATGGAGCTGCATTGTATATCTATTGACGCAGAATTATCGTGGATTAACTAGCACACAATCACAAACAAAAAAAAATAGAGAAGAGAATAATAAAAGGATTTTAATGAAGTTAAGTTAGGCCTACAGAGAGAGTTTTCTTTAGTGAAAGAAAAGATGAAGCTTACAATACATAAGAGTCTCTTAGCCTAAATTGTGTATCATATACCATGTTATAGGATCCATATCTATATCCCCAATATATAGATCCCAAGTACACTCCAGCCTATTTTCTAATCCTATAAAAGTAATATTTTCCTATTCCAAATCTATTAGGACAAAGGGTCTTCTAAACAAATAGGAATTATAGTTTCCTAAAATAAACAAGGGAAAAATTCAAGACGTAATTAACATCTATATTTTTGGTATAAAGACATAGGATTAGTGGATTCATATCAACTTTCATAGTTCTTAGCATTCTTGTAAGTACTACACTTTTTGTTCTTTTGTGATTTTCTAACGGTACCAATGTATCCTTAATGTTGAAGTATCATTGTTACCTATTCGAAAAAAAGTTACCAAACTCAAAGAGAAGAAACTATAAGGATAATACTACGACCCTAATTTGCGACCTCCATAATCCGTTAACTATAAGAAATAAGTGAAGAAACACTTAACTATCTAACTTACCTTCTACCCTAATTTGCAACCTTCATAATCCCTATCTAAGGTCGTGTCCTTGGTAAAATTGATTTGCGATATATCATGCCTAATCTTATCTCCCTAATGTATCATCGGCCTACCCTGACTCTCTTGAAACCATTCATAGCCAACCTCTCACAATTCTGCAGTAACTCATTTGTGCATCTTCCTTGTACGTGTCTAAACCATCAGAACCTCTTGTAATGACGACCCTGAAGGCCATTTTTAAAAATTTTTTTGGAAAATTTATCATTTTGCCCCTCTCGATAGTTGCCCAAGTCATGGTTTTCAGTTTATGATGTTGGTTTTAAAATCAGATTGGGAAGTTAAAACTTTTTGAAGTTTTAGAGTTTTGGAGACCTCAAGTTGTTAAAAGTAGGTTTTGGCAACAATAGGAGCTATGAGTCATGGAAGGAACTTTAGTCTATCCTATCAGCTCTGGAATGCAAAATTTTGTCTAGAGGTTTAGTTGTTTCCAAATATGGAGACCCTTTCATGGATTTGATCTCTTGAAGTGGAAGTTTATGTATAATTAGGACAAGAGTAGACTTAAGTCAACATTTGGAGTTTGAACGCTCGAATTGGAATTTCGACGAAACCATTAGATTTAATTTTGAGTCCTACGTGAAGTCTTCTTTGAATTTTCAGAGGTTTGGGGGAAATTTAGTGTTTTTAAGTAAAAGTTACTTTATTGCTACTTACACGGATACTGGGTCAAGGAGACTTCGTATACGTGTCTCGAGATTCATTGAGTGTGGAACCTTAAGTTTGGTTGGGTAGCTTATCTAGTTTGTGTATGTGCAAATTTTGAATGAATCTTGATAGTTCATTAGGTGATTTTGTTGAGTCTTGGAGTTTGATGATATGTTGTATGTGATGCACGTTAATTATTCTTTGCATCACGAGGCTCTTGGTCGTGGTCGCATGGTATGCGGTCTTGTGCTTCACGATCGCATGGAGGATGTTACAATCGCAATAGCTCAAGGACAACTCACTTCAGCCCCGGTGCTTAATCTGCCTAAGAGTGGCGAGAATTGCACTGTCTATTGTGATGCATCTAGGGTTGTTTTGGTATGTGTTCTTATGCAAGTTGGTAAGGTGATAGCCTATGCTTCCAGACAACTCAAGGTTCATGAAAAGAATTATCCCACTCATGACTTGGAGTTTGCAGCTGTGCTGTTTGCATTGAAGATGTGGAGGCATTATCAGTATGGAGTATATGTGGATGTGTTCAGATCATAAGAGTCTCCAGTACGTGTTCACACAAAGAGAGTTGAATCTACGTCAATGTAGATGGTTGGAGCTGTTGAAGGATTATGACATGAATGTGCACTACCATACAGGTAAGGCTAATGTTGTTGCTGATACTTTGAGCAAGATGAGCATGGGGAGTACAACCCACGTTGTGGATGAGAAGAACAGACTTGCCAGACTGGGTGTGCGGTTTGTTGACTCTACTAGTGGAGGTGTTTCAGTTCACCCTAGTTCTGAATCATCCCTGATAGTGGAAGTCAAAAAGGGTCAGTATATTGATCCTTTGTTGATCTAGCTGAAGGACTCACTGTTGTTGAAATGAATGCGTCTTTCGCATACTTAGATACCAGAACCGGTTGTGTGTACCAGAAGTAGATAATTTATGGACTAGGATTGTAACAAAGGCCCATGGTTCCAGATATTCCATACATCCAGGTTCTACCAAAATGTATCATGATCTTAAGCAGATTGATTGGTGGGATGGCATGAAGAAGGATATTGCAGACTGTGTGGCTAAGTGTCCTAATTGTCAGCAGGTTACGGTAGAGCATCTTAAGCCTGGTGGTCTTACTCAGAATATTGAGGTTTCGACTTGGAAATGGGAGGACATTAATATGGACTTCGTGGTTGGTCTTTCGAGGACTAGGAGGCAACATGACTCCATATAGGTTATTGTTGAAAGATTGACTAAGTCTTCCCAATTTATCCATGTGAAGTCTACTTACAGGGCCGAGGATTACGCGAGACTCTACATTGATGAGATTGTGAGCTGGCATGGGATTCCTTTGTCTATCATTTCATATAGAGGAGCTCAGTTTACTTCGCATTTCTGGAGATCTTTGCAGAAAAGCTTAGGCACGCTTGTGAAACTTAGCACCGCCTTTAATAAAAATGATTTGGTATATTGCTACTGGTACATTTATTTATTATGAGAATATGCTCAAAAAGAAAGAGCCCAAGTTTGTTCATTATTTGGCTATATACCTTGTTGTTTAAGTAAACATACATATGTATGTTACAATTGGCAAGGAATTGTTGTTTTGCATATGTACTATTTCAAACAACTTTGGACATGTATTGTTCAAAGTTAGTCTCCACAAAGTGTAACTTTATACAATGTTTGAAGTTTTATGTGGCTAAAGTTGAGGTATATCGTATATATGATTGAAGTTTAAGTATTTTTGTTTGAGAAAACATATCTCTGATGTACTAGTAGTTTGTTTATTTGATTCATAAAATTTGAAAATGTTAACTATTGTACAACAACAAGTTCAACGTCTCTCCAAACACCTCTAGATCCATTATCAAATTCTCCAGGACCTTGGTCATAATTGGGCACCATCACATCAGATCTCCATCCACAAATACCACCGCAGCCAGCTCTGGCATAGTCGAAGCAGTCAATATGTACCTCCAATATGTATCCACATTCAATTCATTCTCATCTTCACCGGCTGCATTTCCCTTTTTCACAACGATCTTCCTTAACCCTGCAGGATGAATCTCTACTTCCAGTGTTCTCACTTGTCCATCCCCAGATCCTTCTAGTTTGATTTTTTCCATGAAACGGAAGAATACTTCCTTCTCTTCCACCGCCACATCTTCATTAGAACGGAACGGCAATTCCTGAAAGTAGTTAAATATGTGAGGAAGTCTGGAGAGATTCTTCATTGCGGAATCAGGAATGTGTTGTTGCCTTTCTAAAAAATTAGAATGAATTCTACATATTGTTGGGGGTTGAATTGAAGCGATAAGAAGATGAAGAGGACAAATGTTGAAAAGGTTCAAAATTCTAATAGCGCAATTTGGGATTTTATTAACCCTTGAAAGACAGATTGATAATTTCTTTAGATTTTTTATCTGCAAAATACATTACACAAATACTAAATTAATATTAGTTAGTAGAGCATCTTGTATTTATGTCCTTAAATATTTTGCTTAAGAGGAGAAATATATCCAAACAGTTCACATAGTATATAGAGTAGAGGAAGTACAATTCATTTCCCCAATACATTTGTCAAAATATTGAATTAATTATATATAAAGAATGATACAATATAATTACTCTTTTAATTATTGCTTGTTAAAGAATGTGACAAGTGTGTACCAACTCACATACGAAGGGAATAAAAGTTTTTGATTACTTAAAAAAACCTTATTACAGCCTTCACATTTCATAAGGTTTTATGGTGTTGATTTTTCCTTTTCCCTTTTCTTTTGAATTTTTAATTTAATCAAAGAAGTATGTATATATTACATTATAAAATAAATTTAGATAAGTTTTATTATTTAGTCATATAGTATATGGAGAATCGTTGCTATTATATGAAGTTCATAACTACATAAATCACCCACAGAAGAAAGTTACTACAGTTAGAGGAGACTCACCACCGACTATATGGAGCATTGTGGATTATAACATGACATCTTTTATTGAATTAAAATGCATAGTGCATATTATATACAATCAACTATTCAAATGATGTGTGCTTAACACATATATGTTGATAGTTTATGTAAAAAGAAAAAAAAACTCATAATACTAGTATGACTTTGACCATTACTTATTTTTTTTTAAAAATAGATGTCCACTTTTACCGTCAATCAATTATTAATAAATTGGACTTTTACCAACAAGATGAAATAAAAGTCCAGGTAATCAACCAATAGAACTATTAAGATTATTCTCTCTAGTCCAAAATTAAATGAATTGTCCAAAGTTATTTTATAGTTCAAAAAAATTAAAATTTTCAAAGTTCAAGATAATTGTTAGTAGGATTTTTGTTTCCATATCTATCCATTCTTTTAATGATGTTATTAACTTGTTAACATTTGTTATGAGAATAATTTAGGAACATTAATAAAAAAAAAAGTCTTTAATGCTATCCTTAAATATTTTGTTTAAGAGGAGAGTTATATCCTAAAAATTCACTTAGGGCCCGTTTGGATGGGCTTAATAAAAGCAGCTTTAAAAAAGTACTTTTGAAAGTGCTGAAACTTATTTTTAAAATAAGAAGTTATGCGTTTGGATAAAAGTGCTGAAGTTAAAAAAAAGTTATTGATGTGTTTGGAAAATAAGTGCTGATAAACAGGTTTTTAAATCAAAATGTCTACAATACCCTTAAATGTTGTTAACAGAATAAAAGTTAATTAATTTATATTTTACAGCCATAAGTAATTATATTTTGCTATTATTCACATATTTCTTTCTCATCATAAATTATTTATAAGAGGAATATAAACTTATTATAGATTTTAAAAATATATAGTTTGAATAGATCAAAGAACGATTTAAGATTTTATTTTAGTTTCATCCATAGGTAATAATAATTGTCTATCATTCACATATTTCTTTATTATCACAAATTATTTATAAGAGGAATATAAATTTTTATTTAAGTTATATGTGCAACTTATTTTACATTTTAATAATATATAATTTGAATAAATCACTTGAAAGATTTAAGATTTATTTTATTTCATTCATTAGTAATAGTAATTGTCTATCATCCACACGTGAAAAGGGAAAAATAGAAGAAATAGATGTTAGGGTTATGTGGGTATTGGAGATTGTATAAAAATATTAAGGGCAAAAAGGTAAAAATGTGGTCATTTTAAAACAGCTTATAAGCTGGAAAAAAAAAGCACCACTACTCCAACTTTTAACTTTTAGCTTAAAATAAGTTTTTTTCAACTTAAAATAAGTTATTTTGAGTATTGCCAAACAGCTAAATAAGTCAAAAACCAACTTTTAAGTCAGTTTGACCAACTTTTAAGCTGAGCCAAACAGGCTCTTAATATATAGATTATAGGAAGTACAATTCATTTCCCCAATACATTTGTCAAAATATTGAATTAATAATGGTAAAATATAATTACTCTTTTAATTATTGCTTATTTAAGAATGTGACGGGTGTGTTCCAACTCACATATGAAGGGAGTATAAAAGTTTTTAAATACTAAAAAGAACTTTATTACATCCTTTGCATTTCACAAGGTTTAGGGTTTTGACTTTTCCTTTTCCTTTTCTTTTGAATTTTAAGTTAAAAATTTGAATTATATACTCATAAAAATGTAATTTTATACCCCTAAGACTAACTTATTTTTAAACAATTACAAATAAAAATGCAAATTAAAAAAAGTCTGTTTGCAAATCTTGTGATTTTTACGTGATTCAACGTATAAATATAAGAATATATATCGTACTCTAATAATATTATTCCATAGAGACATAAGTCTTCAAGTTAAACATTTTAAAAACTAAATGATACTATATGGTATAATAAATAAATAATATTGTAATCAAGTCTTTGCATCTACTCTTATTGGAACTCTTATAGACAAACTTATAAAAATAAAAATTGAAGTACTTTTTCGAATAATACATTATAATAATATGGCTTAGTCTTTCTACTCACTCATATTAAAATGCCACTTATTGTATCAGATGATTTAGAAAATTGTTCTGCATTTTGTGCTTCCAACTTAATTGAATTATAATATATTTATATTAATTCATATCAAATACTGCCAATTTGCAAAGAATGTAGCATTTTTAGGATTACAATTTTAAAGAGAAGGAGAACAATTGATAAAAACCTTCGTTTGGTTGGTGTAACACAATTTTTTTAAAAAAATATTTTTGATGTGCATAATTGATTTTGTCATTCCTTTTGACACCACATCCGTTCGTTTGGTAACTTTTTCGTATTTCTCATCTTTTTATAATATTTTGATGAAGTGTTGTTGCTTCATTTGTAATTCTACGTTTTTAAAATATAACTACTTATTTCTGTGATTTGAGATTAGTACTCAAAACTTAGCTCAAAAGGCTATATTGAGAATCTCAGTTTCCTTTCTTACTTTATTTAGAAAGCGATTACTCTTATCTGAAAAGTAGCCCGAAAGCTCTTTGGAAATCTCTGTTTCCGTTCTTAACTTAAATGTGAAAACATTTATAAACTTTCACGGAATACTTAGTTCCTTTTGACAACACATCAGTTCCAATATATATCCACATTCAATTCATGCATAATTGGTTTTATCATAACTTTTGACAACACATCAGTTTGTTAGGTGACTTTTTTGTATTTCTCATCTTTTTATAATATTTGGATGTAGTGTTGTTGCTTATGTAACATCTAAGGTTAATATAAGAAAAAACAAGAATAATCAAATTGAGAAATAAGTAAAGGAATCTGGAAAATCTCCACATTTTAAAAGTGAGTTTTGAGTATTTTCAAATGGCCATAACTTCCAGCCCAGGATGAGTTTGGATGAGTTCTCTATGGGCATAATACATATATTGGACCCTAAAATGACTTCAAATTTTAACTTTGATCTCAAACTTTCATAGTGCACGAATAGACACTTTAACTATCCTATTTTTCAATAAATAAACACGCGATTTTTGAAGCCAAAGTGCATGAAATGCAAATGCTCCCACGTATATTACTGAGCCAATCAGTGTTTGCCAACTAATTAAACATTTTACACGTCTTTTTTAAAAAAAAATATATAACACGTCATTTTGAAACAAAAATTAAAATTAATTTTAATTAATATAAAAGAGATTCATTAAGGGTAGAATTATCATTTCAACATTTTTTTACCGTTGTGGGCCTCGAAAATTACCCATCACTCGCAGAAAATGCGTGACTTTCACGCAGTTTGCCAGGTAGGAATCGCGTGTTTATATATTTAAAGAAAGGAAAGTTAAACCGTCTATTTGTGCAATATGAATTCTGAGGTCTAAGTTAAAATTTAAAGTCAAGTTTAAGGTCCAATATATGTATTATGCCTTCTTTATATGACTGGAAAACTCATCGGTACATCTTTCAAACGACATCAAGTTTGCAAAATTTCGAGGTTGTATGAGGGAGATATGACTTCCGGAAGTTGGGACGTTGAGCACAGAAAATTCCAAATCTGGATTTGTAAAGGGTGTTTTAGTCTTTTCCTAAATTAATTATTATTTTCGTTTTAAGAGTAATAAATTGGGTTCTAAGCTGATCCCAATCACTTTTCACATTTAGAAAATAAGTTAGGGCTTTGAGACATTGGAGAAAAAAAGGAGAAGGGAGAAGAAGATGCGAAAATGCCAACAATTCGTTCGTGGATTTCGTCGGCGGTGATCCTTAACAAGGTATGTGAGATCACTCCGTGTTGGATTCTTACACCCACACCCAAATTGTTTCAGTTCAGTAAAGTTTGAATTAGAGAATGATGAACATGAAATTCTTGATGAAACGTTGTGAAATCTTGTTGGTTGATTTGTAGTTGATCTCTAGTAGTTGGGTTCTTGTTTCCAGACTGTTTTCAGGTCTAAACTATTGGATAATGAGTTAATTTAGGATCCTAAGTGTTTGAAGGTGGAACCCATGGGAGTTTGGGAAGGTTTAGTGATGAAAATGAAGAAGAAAGTTGGAAAATCCGTCTAATAGACACTAGGGCGCCGCGCCTCAGGACAAAGTCTGTCCATCATGATCTGGTGCGCCGCGACGGAGGACAACCTCTTTCCGACAGGCCCTGGCGCTCCACACCTCTCATAGAAATCCAATACCCCCTGGAGACCCCGTTCTTTCCCTATCTTTTCGTACTAGTTCATAAGTGATGAACCCTTTATT